CTGAGTGCCCGGCCGGACGGGCAGGCAGCTGGTGCTGCCCCGGGCAGGGAGGGGAAGGTGGGACCCCTGGGCTGGGGCAGCGCTTGAGAGAGGCACACGTAGGGGACAAGGCAGCCCAGGTGGGTTCTGCTAGGAAAGGGTGACCCTGCCCCAGGGGCTGGTGGCAGGCAGTGTCCCTGCCTGGGGGATAGGGGTTGGAAGGTCTTGGTGTTTGTGTGCAGGCAGGGTGGCCCCGGAGTGCAGAAGGGCTGGCAGTGAGGGCAGGAGGGGTGCCCAGAGCCAGGTCCTGGTGTGGGTGTGTCAAGGGAACACCTGGAGTGATGACTAGGGGATGCAGGAGGGCATTGGGGACTCCCTGCCTGCCTCCATCCTGAACCCCCTCACTGCCCTTCTCTATGGGGTCCCCATGGGGCTGGCGACCTTGGGAACTGCTGGTGCCATGTGCCAAGTGGCACCACGCTGGTGTTGGACAGGAACAAAAGTCACTCCCTTCCCTCCTCCTTCCCTCACCTGGCAACTGTTTGTCCAACACCTTCCTGGCTTATCTCCCCACACCCAGGGAGTGTGGGATGAGGGCAGAGGTGCTCCCCCGCCCCATGTGGGGCAAAGGCCTGCCTGGCATTGCCCCTCCTGGGGCCCGGACCCTGCCAAGCACAAACGGGTTTCCCTGAGAGCAGCAGCTCCCACTTACCCAGGACAGAAGCAGGTGCTGGGGGACAGGGTGAGGCCCACTTTTTTGAGGGGCAGCTCCCCGTGGAAGCAGTGCTGGGGCATTTCTGAGCCTAGGGCTGTAGCCAGCATCGGATTTTATAGTCCTGGCTCATGTTCGCCATGACTGTGTCTCATGACCCATGACATCCCATGGTGAGGAGTTCCAGTGCTGAGCTGGGCACCACACAAAAACATCCCTCGTGTTGTCTGATTGTTAGGCTGCTGCCCAGTCATTTCATTTCATGCTTCCCAGGGCCAGCTTCGCACATGACCATGAATGTGCTGTCCTTCTCCCTGATTTTATAACACTCTGGGATCCCTCAGCATCTCCTTTCCAGGCTGTACAATCCAAGTCCATTCACCTGGCTTTGTGTAGAAGCTCCCATATTGCTTTTCCTGCACCTTTTCTAGGTCTCCTCCACCGCTTTTGCAGCAGGGGGAGGAACCAGAAGTGTGAGCTGTACTTCTGCAGGCCAGATACACAGTGGCTTGGTCCCTCTCTGAGATGCAGCTGTGGCTGGGGGCAACAGGCAGCGCAGGGCAAGGCTGGGAGGGCTGCAGCACAGGCTGGCATCCCTCTGCTTGCTGGGGAGAACCGTGGCAAGGCAGTTGTCTCATTTGTGTGACCTCTGTGGCCACCAGATTTGGGGCTTTTGGGATCTGCTGCTGTTCCTCAGCCCTGGCTTTTCAGCCCTTATGGTGGGGAGAGATGGAGGGGGCTTCACCCCACCTTCCTTCTGCTCCAGCACAACAGAGTTCTTGGATGGGTTTGGAATTTCCCATCAGAGCAGAGGTTGGATGAAGCTATGAAGCTGCCCAGTGCTGTGTCCTTGTGCCTCAGGACTTGAGGAGTGATAACAACCAGAGCTATGCTGAGAACTGGGCAGGTTGTTTCATTTGTGCTCACAGGCAGGACTGGAGAGCCTGGGAGATCCTCCCAGACAGAAGCCAGCAGGGTCTCAGCTCCTACATCCTTCTCCTGTCAGCAGTAAGACACTGGGGCAGTGCTAGCACAGGGAAGGTGTCTTGGAAGCAGAGGTTGTTTCACCCTGACCAAGGCTCTGCTGCCCAAGAGGCCCTCCAATGAGCTGGGAACTTGAGGAGAGATGGAGGAGGAGATGGGCAGCATGTTGGGGTGCACATCCTTGGTATATGCTGTGTCAAACAAGGGAACGTCGGGCACCATGAAGAGTCTGGAGTGCAGGAGATGGACAAGGTGCCTTGTTCTCAGATCTTCTGCTGCTGGACCAACCCCCAAAGGGTCTGGGGACCCAGAGATGCTTCATGGAAATATGGTGGGACACAACTTGCCAGCCAGGCAGCTAACCCCCCACTCCAAAAAGCTTTTACTGACTCTGCCCCTCTGCCCTACAGCGCTGCAAGGACCGCCTGAACTCTCTGGCCATCTCCGTCATGAATCAGTGGCCTGGGGTGAAGCTGCGGGTGACAGAGGGCTGGGACGAGGACGGGCACCACTCGGAGGAGTCGCTGCATTATGAGGGCCGAGCTGTGGACATCACCACCTCAGACCGGGACCGCAACAAGTATGGCATGCTGGCTCGCCTGGCCGTGGAGGCTGGCTTCGACTGGGTCTACTACGAGTCCAAGGCACACATCCACTGCTCCGTCAAGTCAGGTAAGGCTGCGGGGGCAGTGAGCAGGGCCAGGGGACAGCCCCTCTGTTGTGGCGTGCCCGGGGAGCCTGGCTGGCTGGGTGGGGTGCTCTGGGGGTTGCTGGCTCTTGCAGCCTGATTTCCCTATCTGGGGCAGAGGGTCAGGTGGGGAGTGAGTTACACACCTGTGGGTAGCAGCGCCATGGGGCAAATTCCCCATCTAGCTCCCACAGACCTGACCCACTCTACCCACCTCCTTTT